AGAGAGAGAGAGAGAATTTTTAATATTTATTTTTTAGTTTTCGGCGGACACAACATCTTTGTTTGTATGTGGTGCTGAGGATTGAACCCGGGCCGCACGCATGCCAGGCGAGCGCGCTACCACCTAAGCCACATCCCCAGCCCCATGATAAAATTATTTTACACAAACTTTTAACTCCTTAAGTTACTGTTAACTACCTTTTGCAAAGTTAACAAATGCCTTCATATAATAAGTAGACACTTAAAATCATAGTTGTGCTTACTGGCTTTTTCCCTTTTTGGCTGTGACTGTCTATGGTTGGTTTCTTTTCCAACAAGGCAAACAGATGAGCAGCTCCAGATTTGGCCTTGGAATAYTCAGGTGCCAAAACAAGTGTCTCTCCCATGGCGATAGCTCCGTAGGCAATTGCAGTGAAAACTCTGCCAAAAGATAAAGCATTTGAATCTTAGGTCCATCTTAAGACAATAGAACTCCAAAAACAAAGGAAAAAGCAGGCACAGGACTCCAGTACTATGACTACATAGTACCATGAATGCCAAAGGACCAACAGGTATCTTTTTTTCTGCCATGTGCTCGGTATGCCAAAATAACCTTTGCAGCTTGGGTAATTTTAAAATGTCTCTTCTGGTTAGAGACACAGATCAAAGATCCCAACTGATTGGAAAACTTCTTAGCTACCCTAATGTAAGGCTTGCTTGCTTGGAGATTTGACAGAGAATTCAACTGACAAAAGGAAGAATGTCTCCAGTTGTGAGATCAGAGTTGACACAGTAGATATGATGTAGGTTTTTTCTTGTTTTGCATATCATGTAGTGAGAACTGATCACTGAAGCTCAATGACTATCTGCCTGATGTGTTACACTATTTAAAGAACAAATCATGGGGGTTGTACTTTCTTAGGTCTCCCAATCAAAACCTGACTAAGATATATCTTATCAATGGTTGGAGGTTTGCTATAGATGATGATCTCAATTTCAAAATTTGCTTACTATAAAATGGTAAGCAGGAAAGTCATATTTGGAAGCATACAGAATATTCAGTTATGCCATATAATGTGACTCCAGTTAAATATTTTCCTCGTATCTTCTATTTCATTTTAGATATGAAAATACACATCTGGAATGAAAAACAATGCATTCCAGAAACTACTAAAAGAATAATTCAGCTAAAGCTGGACAAGACTCACTGGCAATATTTCAACATTAGACAATAAAAGGACATTACTGAACCCAGTTGCTTGTTTGCTGTGCTGGATTCCAGCAAGGTAAACATGTCTGGGCTATTAGTGAATTTCTCCCTCAGTGTATATACCTTAGTGAATTTTTCCTCCCTTTTCAATTTCTCACTCAGTATCTACCAAGGGTTGGGTGTTGTAATCTCTCGGTAACCTGGACCTTAGATCCTGAATCTTGTTGGTTTTATAAAGATCAAACACAGCATAAAACATAAAAGCCACCAGTTTACTAGTATGTCTGAAGCTAAAATTAATATAGTCAATAATGCTATGATGGTAAGGCATTTTTAGTGCTAATATTTATAGAAATTATTTAGATCTCAAAATGCCATTCAAAATGCTTGATACCTAGTTGTAAACATCAAAGTTAAGTAACTCAAGAGTTTTTTAAATTTTTTTAGTTGTAGATGGACACAGTATCTTTATTTTTATTCATTCATTCATTCATTCATTCATTCATCTAAATACATAATTGTGAGGGTGGAGGCTTCAATCTAGCCCTTGTGCCTGTGGAAGGTAAATGACCCAAAGGATGGGGAAGAGGTTTCAGTAGAGAAGGAACAGCACCTGCAAAAGCCCTGCCATTGCCTTTATCGTGTACGTACTGAGGGAGGTCTAGAGGGGTGGGTGCTGATGTTATGGAGGCCATGAGGAGCCTAGAGGGGGAGGGTGAACTGTGTGGTGATGGATTTACTATCTGGGGGTTGAGTCAGGGATACTAATCTTTACTCTTTTCCCCCAAATGGACTCCGTATAAAGGCAGGCCAAGARCCATGCAGCTCGAAACCTGGTTTGCTACAGAACCTGTCCTAACCTAGACAGACCCAATTAGAGTGAGCTACACTGAAATTCTTTCCCGCTCAACAGATGTTTATCATACAGCAACTAATGCCAAACACCATAACAGAGTTTAACAGGGTCTTCCAATCTGGCTTAAACTCCTGGAGCATCTGAGTTGAGAGCCACCTCACCCCCAGAGAAATGCACAGGCCAGCTCTCCATGCCCCTGTGGGCCTGCAGGCAYTCTGCCCATTGTGGATAAAAACAAGGACAAATTCACCAGGTTGGCAAATATTTTAAAGTCACTAATAATACATTTAATATTAATCTATAATTTCTTATGTGTCCCCTTCACACCTATGAATAAGTTTATAAGAAATATTCTACAGTTCAGAAATGATTTGCACATTGAACTAACTCTTGAAGTAAATAAGTCAAACAGGAATTAAACTTGAAATTTAACTTTTGAAACTTTCATAAGCTAATTTTATCATGGAAGAAGAAATATTACCTAGAATTTATACTTATCTGGCACTGAATAACYGCCTTTGGGTTGGCACAGGGTTGAGAGAAGGAAGAGGTCTGGTTAAGAGCAGCCCAGCATCTTCAGATGCTCCACCTGTCTTCCCTGGTGATACGGGTTCTCTAACTTGAGCATGGTCACTCATCCTCACTATGTTGAACCTTTCAAACCTGTCTGAGCAATGGGTGAAATCCTGTCACCTATCTTTACTGTTAAGATAAAACTGGAATTTTATAAAAATCCTTGGGATAGGAACAACATAAAAAAAAGTATAGAAATGAAAAATCCTAATTTTAACATAATTGACCCAGRAATAAGCTGCATAGTTATGAGTTCCAATAGATTTGTATTCCCTGAACCCTACCCCCATATCCAGTTTGTAGGCCTTTGGTGACTTATCCTAAGAGAAAGTTTAGTGGCTCTGRAGCCAGATCATTGAGATTACATCCAATCTCCACTGTTCATTTACTATCTGTGTGACCTAGGGAGTTTAACTTCTCCACGCTCCTGTTTTCTTTTGGCAAACAGATGATATGAATATCTACATCTTATAAGGTTGTTATAGAGTTATTAAGACAATTAAATACATAAATAATGTACAGTGCTTAGTACAGAGCCTGGAACATGAGTGCTCAGCAAATGTAAGTTTCTTTATTATTCCTCTCATGGAATGAGAATCAATGAGACACCTTCTGTTACAAAATAAGCCTTCACACTTTAGTAGAAATATTAACATAGCCGATCAAATCACAGCTTTTGAAGTTGCCACTCAGTAAGTTTTTCTCTCATGGATTGGAAGGCAGACTATCTTTCCTCCCAGAAGTGGTCTTTAAATGATTCCCATGCTCATTCTCTTTTTCCCCCTCCATCCATACAAGCTCAGAGATCCTCTTCTGTGGAAAGTCCGTTCCAAAAGAGATGGGTGGAAAAAAAATAAGCCCCTGAGGTTATCTGGTACTTTGGATCTTATGAGATATTTTTATATACATGATACCATTTGATCATGCAGGAGATAATTAGAGCAAAAACTCATATCACTGAACAAATAAGGAAACTCCAGCTCAGAAAAACTATGCARTTGGCCCAGGACCTCAGTCATGCCAGTCTTAGGCTGGAACACAAGCCTCCTTGCTGTGTGTCTTCCTACTAAGTGCTCCTTCCAGTGAAAAGCTGACCCAATGACCTTTCCTGGCATGTAGTCCCCATCTTGGGATCTTCATAGGTCCTAGGCAACTATTCTCCTTTGGTTTCTCTACTTAGATCCCTTTGGTGGTAGATCTGGCCTCCATTTTGTTCTCCTGTCTTTCTGAAAACCTCTGAGGAGCGCCAGGCAGGAGCTGGGCTGCCATGGTAGTGAACAGGACAAGAAGCCTTTACTATTTTCTTTGCTTTAGCTAACTAGGTCTGCTTTCCTAATAGTGATGATGACATGCACAGYTCTTTCATGCTACATGGCCTACAAGAGCAAAGATAGTGGTGGAGGTCCAGCGTGCTTCTTTCCATGCCTTAGTATTTCAAGATGTCAAACACCTGTTAACATTTATTGGAAACTCACTTATGTTGCTCTTTTGACTGATAACCACATTTAATAACAAAATTCCAATATTATTTTCTCTCAAGAACTGCATTTAGATTCTAGGAGGAGTGGGCCAGAAACACATGGTCTGTCTGTACCTACTGTCATGTTTTGATTTTCTCTTATGTGTTTGCTCTACTTAGCTTCTTGCCAATATGTGTAGCAAAGAGGACATAACTCACAGAAGTAGAGGAAGGCCACCAAATAGGGTTTGGAGAGTTACAGAAACCTACGCTGGGCACCAGTACTTGCTGAACTACATTGCAAAAGGCAAGTCAGAGTCCTGCCTGATAGCACCAATATAAAATGGAATAGGAGAAAATAAAAGTATTTTGTATTTTTAAAACTGAACATTTATAGCAAAGTAATAAATCCAATGTTGCCAATTTAAGCAAAGGAGAGGTAATGTGTTTTGCTTCACACATGGATATGGGAACCTAGACAAGAGATTTTCTAATTGCCTAATCCCTAGCTTCAAGGCTGTAGATTAAAAATGTTATCACCTTATGTAAATGCTCATTTCAGAGAAACTTCTACAATAATCAATAATGAAGGTAAACAGAGACCACTTTTATCTTAAGACATGCATGTTGACTTTTTTTTTCTTTTGAGGATCTTTCTCTAAACAGACATTCTGATAATCTAATATGAGCACAATTAAGAGAGATTCTGATRTTAAAATTTCGGTGTGTGTCACCTATTTTTTTTTCTAAGTTAAGGAAGGACACAATACGTTTATTTTATTTATTTATATATGATGCTGGATGCTGAAGATTGAACCCACATGCTAGGCAAGTGCTCAGTAGCACCACTCCAGCCCCCTGTGTCACTCTTTTCTAAGATACACTGTCATTTCTGAAAGAGAGATAGTATATCCCATGCCTCTATAGAGGTATAAACCTTAAAAACACATTTACAGTGTATTGAGAAAAATCTTTATTTTTAACAATAAACTAAAATATGACTTCCCCCTTTTATTTTTCTTTAGCAAACCACAATATAGGTGATTAAATCCAGGGCCTCATGCATGTTAGGCAAGTGTTCTAGCACTGATCTACATCTCCAGCCTCTTTTGTTCTGAGACAGGGTCTCCCTAGGTTGTTCAGGCTGGCTTCAAACTTGGGATCCTCCTGCCTTAGCTGCTGAGACTATAGGTGTGTGCCGTCACACATGGCTTGTTCATATTTCTTTAAATGTGAACCTCAGATCTTATGCCTTGGAATGATATGGGATGTTTGCTTAAATGCCTTATGTCAGAACTGTGAATCAGACTTTGTGGTGTGAGCGCCAAGCATCCACTATTTTT